ATTCAGTGTTCCCATGTTCTGTTCGAACAACTGCCTCTTGGTCCAGGTACAGATTCCTCATGAGCACAATTAAGTGTTCCAGAATACTCATACTTTGCAATGTTGTCCATAGCTTGTCATGATCCACACGATAAAAAGCCTTTGCATACTCAATAAAGCACAGGTAAACATCTTTCTGATATTCTCTGCTTTTAGCTAAGATCCATAAGACATCAGCAATGATCTCTCATTCCACAGCCTCTTCTGAATCCAGCTTGAACCTCTGGAAGTTCTCTGTGAACTTAGAGATCACTTTATGTATAGGTACAGCTTATTGTCTAGGCATTCCTGGGTCATTAACCTGATGTCACTTTTAGTGACACACTATTGGTTTAAGGGGATGACAACTTGTAGTTAAATGCTACTGATTTTGTGGTACATTTGGAATTATGTGGAATGTCAATGCCTTCTACTTCTCTTGGTGTTGCATTCTGTCTGCACAGGAAACTACTTTTCATTCCTTGGGGATAAGAGGGATCCAATTATTGTGAAAAATGAAAGAAGCCAATCCCTTAGCTAGATTCCTTGGGCTTCAGATCCTGACACTGCACCATTTCTTTTATCTAAGCTATTGGCTTCACATGCCATTTAAACTAAGACAATGGAAGAGCTAATGGGACATCTGAAATGTCAATCAGAACTCCAGTTTGGTATTGAAGCAATTGCTATTTGGGGGACTGGGGGAAGGATTCAGCATTTCTGCTGAAGAGGAAATTATTTCTATTGAACTTTAGTAGCCTCAAACCTGTTTTATTATTCAAAGGAGAAGAGGCACAGAACTGCCTGGCAGAAGAAATTTATGCAGGTTCAAAGGTTTTTAGGGAAAAAAAAGCCAGAAAGTCAAAGAAAATGAAAAATTTCACTTCTGCTTTGACTTACCATAGAAACCTAACGTTTCTCTTTAGTTAATGGGAACAATGTCCTTCAAAGCCCAAATTAACAGGCTTCAATTTACAAAAACACTGTCTTCCTCTTTAGCTTTTCCTGTTTCCCAAAGGGCGTTCTGAATACCTGGTTCCCATGGACAGGGAACACTGGCCACTTTGAGGAATACTTACTCTTGCATTTTTAGCATAGGGATGAGAGCTCACTGTTTGAAGATATATATATATATTTTTTTTCCTTTCTTCCCTCCAAGGTAGATGTAGAGAAAGCTGAGTCAAAGAGGCATACATACATTATTTATGCTTAATAAATAAATAAATAACCTGATTCTGGGAAGAAAATAAAGATTTCTGAAGAATGAAGCTACAATCTTGAGACAGAAAAAGTCTACAATTCCAAGAAAAGTACTACGACTCCTACTGGAGTTTTGTAGAACTGTAACAACGATGCTTAAAGAGTAGGACACATCTTCTCTTCACTGTGACAATGAGCGACAAGGACACAGAGAATGTGAGACGCCACATGCCATGACCAAGTCTTTGCTTAGAATATCATTACACTTAGGCTCAGCATTTGGTGCCTCTTCACAATTTGGCCCCAATTGTGATGTCAGCTATATTTGCAGTTGCTTCTTTCAGAGCATCTTACAGGCACCATGTTATCTGCATCCAGGCTATTGTACACAACTAGCCTCTTTGCCTCTAACATCTTTTACCCCTAACTTTACTCCATTCATGCTTTGAATCTCAGTCCAAATGATGTCTCTTTGGTGAGTCCTACCTTTACCATCCCAGCCAAGGCTGGAGGTCATGGTGAAGAGTTGCCAGGACTCAGCATGAACTCTTTATCACGTGCAAAGAGCATGCTGTCACGCTGCCATTTTACATAGTCTACATTCTTCTTTATGGAAAGGCAAGAGTGCTGACACAGCCCAGGAAGCAACTGTCTTTGGGGTCATGAGTCTTATGCCTGAGACATGAGCAAACCTGCCTGTGGCTGGAGTATTTTGCTCTTGAAAACTATGTCAAAATCACTTCCTTAAGCACAGTCAGAAAGAGGGAAGGGATGTGAGTAGTGGCCCACAGATTCTCCAGGCTCCTCAGGTCCTCAAATGCAGGAAGCCAGCTCTTACCGTGATCACTTTCTGTTCCCGATCGGCCCCAGTAGCGCCGTCTTCTTTCAGGACTGTGTGTGTGCCGTTCGATGACTGCCGCTATGAATCGAGTGTTGCTGACTGTGGAGGGCAAGGGCAGTTAACACACACTCTTACGCAACTATCTTTGTTCCAGCAAGTTCGGAGCAAGCTCATCCACACACTGGCAAAGTTACTCTTCTGAGAGCCAGACTATGTAATTTTTTATAAAATTCTGAGCATTAGGAGAAATGGTATAGTGAGAGGCACTTAATTATGTGTCTCCAGTAAGCATTAAGAAGCTATGCACCAGGGACTAGAAGACCAGGGTAGCTCAGCATTAATGGAACTCTCTTAATAAAGAAAATGCTCCGTCTCCTTTTTTTTTTTGTATATACACTACTTAAGGGATTTTTAAAAAAAATGTGAACTACTATGTTTGAAAGTAATGAAGAGGAGAGAAGGAAGGGAAGGGTGAGCTGTTTTATGCCAAAACACTTAATACAAAAAAAAAAAAGAAAGAAAAAGAAAAAGAAAAAAAAAAACCCATAATATTGTAAAAATTCTTTTTAAGACTTTTCTAAACCAAAGCAAACACCTATAAACACATTCCTCAGGAAAAAGGAAGGAGAAAAACACCCACCATGTCAAGGCTCCTTAAATTTTAATATAAGCCAAAAGGATATAAGAAAGAATATTTATTCTGGATTAACCTCCTGCTGACACATTCTGCAGCGACGCAGCCCAATACTCACTGATGGCCCTGTCTTCGTGGCTGTCATCATCTCTTTCATCTCTGTCATTCTCCAGGTTGGACATACGCACTGACATTTCTACCCATCATTAAAAAGAGAGAAACATGACTATTTAATCAAACAAAACCACCCGCTTTAATACCCTACTGAATGCTTGTTTGATGGCTGGGTGACAGCATTCCATCAAGAACAAATCTCATTCTGGAGACAAGTGAATGGATGCCCTAATTTTTTTTTTTTTTTTTTTCTTAAAGGGAAATGAGCAGGAATCAGAAGAAGCATATAATTAGGAGAGGCACCTGAAATTGATTTCTGAAGTAACAGGCAAAAAGAAATTGACAAGAGACTTGACAGATCTTGAATACTGTACCCAAGCATCTGAAAAAAGGAGGAATTGGGGCTAAAACCACTGGTGTATTTATAAAATCGGCTTACAAGGTCCGACAAAGGCCAGGCAGGGGTGAGGTAACACTAGACTGCAGCCATTCTCAGTCCAGATAAGTCTTACCAAGGGGAAAGTGCTCTGTGATAGTGTGTTACTAAACCAGGCAGAGCTATGCCATCATTCACCTTCAGGACTGCAGCCACCATGAAACATTCTCAAATGAACCTGTCATTTCTGCTGCAAGGGTGAGCTCAGTGGCTTCTGGCTGAGTCCAGAAAGAATCATGAGCTAGCCTTCTCTCTGCAAAAATCAGGTCAATCCATCCCTGGGGCCATTAGGGAAGGATGGGTATGGCTTTGAATGTCTTGTTGTTGTTATGTGCCGTGGCATCGGTTCCATCTCATAGCGACCCTGTACAGGGTTACTGAGGCTATAAATCTTTACGGGAGCAGAAAGCCTCATCTTTTTCCCCTGGGACAGCTGGTAGTTTTGTACTGCTGACCCTGAGGTTAGCAGCCCGATTTGTAACCACTACACTACCGGAGCTCCTTTTGAATGTCTAAGCCCCTGCAAATAAGCGCAGACGCTACAGAAACAAAACAAACAAACACTTGGCATTGAAGCCATGATTACTATCCTGTTTTAAGAGATGTGATTATTCAGACGTGTGTACACTCACATTGCACAGTGATAGCTGCAGTATAACAGACTCATGTTCTTGCCAACTGGGATCTGGGGCATCTTGATTCACCTGTCTTTTTGGTACTGCAGGGCAGCACAGTTGATTTTAATGAAGAACAAAATTTCCTACTCAGCATCCCAGCCCTAGGGACTGGCTGATTATTACAGAGATTCACTACAGGCTAATGCTGTGTAAGGAAACAGAGGAGCCAGAGATTTTTCTGAGGAATCCAAACAGAGCTCCTCTGCTTTAGCACTAAGGAATGTACAGTAGGCTAAGGGAGGACAGTGGGGTTTGGGGATTTCTGAATCTCCTCCAGGGAAGCTGAAAATGTAGCACCATTCTTATAATTTAGCTATTGTACAATTGGCCATTGTCCTTCCAGTCTTTGAACACCACAGGGGAGGTTGTCTCTGGGAGCTTTGGTGCTCATTTATTTGGGGTTCACTCACCTTGGGCAGCAAGAGGAGACATATGCTGATGACTCCGGCGATGAATCTGATGTCGGTAAGCATACACAGCAAGGACCAGTACCATGATGCATCCCATAATACCTCCAGCCACAGGCCCCACGGGGGCACTTTTAATCATGTTCAATGTGATAACCTCATCACCTTCATTAAAATAAACAAACAGACATCCCTTGTAAATATTTCACAAATGTGGGAGGAGAGGGGGCTGGTAGGGCAGGCAGGAGGGGTATGTGTGTGAACTGGGAAGGATGGGACCAGAAAGGGGTTGGAGGAAGATAAATAAGTACAGCTGTTTTAAGCTTGATGCTCTTAAAGAACACCCAACAGAAAGTGGAAGCAATGGCGGCTTCATTTTGTTCCTGGTTCTCAAATTAAAATCCTGGTTGCTAAGCAGGACAGGGATGGGTAAAACAAATTGAGAGCTGGTAGCCATGTAAGTATGCAGCACCCAGTGTGAACAGCACTGGCTTCCTGCGTGGAAGCTATTCTTAGGACAGAAGAAGCTCATCTGGTAATAAGAGGCCTCTTTGGAGGTCATGTGACTGATCCATTGTAATAAACAGCACCAGGTACTAACATACGTGCTAAACAGATCAAGTTTCAAAGCTGATGGGTTCCCATTAAAGTATCATTTGTACTTTTCAGAAAGGGCAATGCTTTGAGACATTAAGTGATTTCTTCGAACAAGGTCACTTCAACTATGCCATCACTTGGCCCTGTGAGCTTAAAACCCTTTCCCACATGCAAGCCTTTCTTCTATAGACTCACTAACATACGAGAGTTTAAAAGGCAAGTATTAACTAAAGATTTCTGTATTTGACTCACCTGAAAACTAGGCTTCAATAAAAATAAGACAGCAAAAAGCATCAGTTGCCATCCAGTCAATTCTGAGCCATGGTGAGCTCACATACCCCCATGTGTGCTGGAGTAGAATTGTGCTCCATTGTGTTCCCAGTGGCTGTGATCTTTCAGAACTACATTGCCAGGACTTTCTTCCCAGGTGGATTTGACTCACCAGCCATTCAGTTAGTAGCCAAGTGCTTAGTTAGTAGTCAAGTGCTTAACCATCTGCTAACTGCAGAATGACACTGAGGAAATCTTAGCCAAGGGATATGCCCTCCTGGGCAGTATTTTCTGTCTCGAAGCCTGATCCTAGGGTCTCTCATTCTGACAGAGTCCTCCCTCCTCCTGCTAACTGTTCCAGCTGCATTGGTTAGCTCTGGTTTCTGTTGACCCAAGGCCCTAAATATTGATTTGTAGCCACAAGACTTCTGCCTTGAGAAAGTCATGAGTGAAAATAACAGAGGGCAATTGACATGCAGTGGACACTCTGAACATAGAGGTCCCTGCGCCTCTGACAGCTGGGACTCCCATTCAGACAGACTCCAGAGTTCAGCCATGTGGAAATCAGGCCTGATATTTCTCAGAACAAGCTTTAAGGGAATGAACTCCAGGCCAGCAAAACTTGGCAGGACATCTGGCTGTTTGCTCTCTCTGCACAGAATATCAAGCCAACTCTGAAGGTAATTATCTGTCTTGGATTTGCAATTAAAATCTGTTGGTAAAGGGATGACGGAACCAGGGTAGAAGATTATTTTAAGGGTTCTACCCTAGTAAGTCCACCACTCGCCTGTCAGTTTGTCATACTGTGTTGGCTTGTGAGTTGCTGTGATTCTGAAAGATATGCCACAGGTATTTTAAATACCAGCAGGGTCACCCACGGTGAACAGGTTTCAGATGAGCTTCCAAATGAAGACAGACTAGGAAGGAGTGACGAACTACTTTGGAATATTTTGTCACTGAAAACCTTATGAATAGCAGAGAAACACTGTCAGATACAGTGCCGGAAAATGAACCCATCAGGTTGGAAGGCACTAAAAATACGACTGGGGAAGAGCTGCCTTGTCAAAGTAGAGTTGACCGTGATGATGCTAATGGAGTAAAGCTTGTGGGAGAAAAGCCCGCGGGACCTTCATTTGCTGATGGGCCACAACTCAAAATGAAGAGAAACAGCTGTAAACAACCATTAATAATTGGAACATGGAATGTATGAAGTATGAATCTGGGAAAATTGGAAGTTGTCAAAA